GTTTAAAACATAAGAGAAGTGGAAGTATCCTCAGCAGGGATCCTGGTTTTCTCTGTTTAAAAATCACGAATTCTCTGATTAAAAAAAAAAAAAAAATTACAAATGCTTTGATTAAAACCCCCAAAATATGCATTTTTCCATGATTAAAATGAAACTCCACTATATCTATCTATCTATATCTATATAGATATTAAAATGAAACTCCACTATATATCTATACATAGATATCTATTATATATATATATAATTTTAAAATAATTTTGAAGCCTACTAGTGCCTCAGTCACTATAATAAAATAATATAATAAAATTATATAAAATAATAATATAATAAACTCTAAATACCTATAAATTTTGGCGCTTGATTTTTGGTGTATTTATCATGGAACATCAGAGCTCTGCCCCCGATTTTGCTCTCCAGGATATGGGTCCAGCTGCGGCTGTCCTCACCCACTGCTTTGTGGATCTGAGCAGCCTTGATATGCCAGTGCCCTGCCCAAGCCATTGCTCTTTGCTCCTAACCCACAGCTGCCCCCACTGACCCTGCTGGTGTCCCTCACTTCTGACCCACAACCCCCCATCCCTGCAGCCCTGCCAGAGGGGGCCTGCAGCTGCCAGGGCTATGGTGCTAGGGACCCAGGTCCACAGCCTCCTCCTGCCCTCAGCAGTGCCCAAGCCCTGGCTGCCACCCGTGGGAGGTGGTGGTTGCTGCAGTGGAGTGCAGCATGGAGCATGACTCCCTCTCCCCCATGGGCAGCACAGGTGGCGTGCAGCCTGTGATGGGGGGAGGGGACAGATGCAAGCTGTCCACTGTGAGCTTGGGGCTTCCCACCTGGCTGCCCTCTCCCCCAGGGCCTCCACAGCCCAGCAGGTGAGACCCAGCATGGTCAGGTAGAGTGGGGCTGGGCAGGGAAGCTTGGTGGTGCCACTGTGATTCCTGCACTGCCATGGTGAGTTGCCCCCTGCTCACCCAGCAGCAGTGGAGATGACAGTGCAGAGCTGTGCCCCTTGCTACTGCCGGAGGGGAAGGAGGTGCCTCATTATAGCAGCGTAGGGCCCACGGCAGCAGCACTGAGTTTCCCTGCCCTTCTCTACTCTGCTGTGCCAGGTCCTGTCCACGAGGCCATGGAGGCCCTGGGGGGGAGGGCAGCTGGGCAGGGAGCCTGAGCCCACAGCAGGCAGCCCACACCTCCCTCTGCCCCACACACAAATCCAGGGGGCATGTGTCTCCATGTCCCCACCAGGAGTGCATGCAGTGGCAAGGAGCCAGCCCCCACTCCCAGGGCAAGCCACGCTCAGCTCCATCCCACTCCCCACCCAGGCCGGCTGTGCATTCCAGTCCAAAATGCCATGCACCACCTGGGCTGGGCAGCACCTGCAGCCCCAGCCCTGCCAAACTCCCTACATCCCTCCCTGTGGGGCCTCAATTTCTGCCCTCCCCCCATCCCCTTCCAACCTCTGCTGCCAGACTTACCTGCGGGGAGCTGCTCTCCAGGCTGCCCGGTGGCTATGTGCACATGTACGAACACACATACATGTGGCACCCCCTGCCTGACCGCCCTCCTCCCACTCCCCCAGCCCCTTGCAGCCTGGAACTCTGCCAGCCTGCAAGGGGAAACCCATTTCCCATGTTTTTCTCCTTTAAAGGAGAAAATCTGGGTTTTACTGCATTTTCCCATGGCGAATGGAAAACTTGGATCCCTGGTCCTCAGTGTTATTTAGGGATGCAGAAGACCTTTTTAGAAGAAAATCTCAGCACAAACTGTGAGGATATTTATTGGCATGTGTTATTGTTAATCTCATGTCTAACAGAATATTGCCGGTACATAGAAAAGATTGGGATCCCTATCCTTAGCTGCTGTAAATCAGTGTAGGTCTACTGATATCTGTCAACCAGTGCCAGGTTATCTCAGATGAAGATCTGGCCCAAGCTTTTTATTACTAAACGAGATTAATGCCTTTTGTGACCCCAGGGAATATGTGGTAATCTGATAAACTAAACTGTTACAAGTGGCTGTGATAAAGTAGCTGCATTTTCAAAATAGTTTAAAAGAGCTGAGTTCTACAGAGCTCAACAGCAGGAACACTACATTCCCCCCGACATATATACTAAGGCTGGATTGCCCAGCTGCTAGATTTCACTGCAATGATGCTCTGTGAGGAAGCACAAGGGGGTTCAGGACGTAGCTCAGAGATGAAGATATTCACCTGTGGGAGAGGACTCATGCTTTCTGCATTTTAGTTAGTGACTTTTTCATGTAAAATGTATGAGCTGTCCTGAGAGCAGGGACCAGGACTTTGGACTCCTGTCTCCCAGGTGAATGCCCTTATCACTGGGCTTACAGGGTATTTCTATACCATGTCCCTAATGTTCTCAGAATAATGCTTCTGAGCATGACTCACCCACCTGCTTCTCCTTCCATCCACTCCTAATGAAAGTGGATGTGACTACTGTGTTTCATCCTGAAAGTTGTTGCTGCTGGTGTGTGTCAGGTGTGGTCTGAGCATGCTTACTAGATCAGGCCCTGTAGGAGACTCAGGTGGGGGATTGCTTAATTTGTGAATCCAAATATGCTTAGGGCTGAGATGGTTACCAAGTCTCTCAGCTTAGCCAAATGGTAGCACCTCTTGGCACATGTAGCAGCAGAACTATAGGTGCCCAGATAACTACTGATGAAAGCCACCAGAGCAGTCAGGAGAAGCCTGCTTTGTAATTTAGACACCTGCGCTGCTTACCAGTGCCGGGTGGGGGGAACAAATGGCACTTTAAGCTTGGTGTTCCCCCGCACCAAGTGCAGCGCATGCCTAGAAGAGGCATTGCATTAGTTGGATCCAGCTCACCCAAAGTCTGTATAGATCAGGTACTTCAGTGGGGCTTTTTGGTACTTTTCTCTAAAGCTGATTGAATTTGCTTTAGATAAATGTGCCAAAAAACCCTGCTGAAGTGCCTGATCTGTACAGATCTTGCAGAGCTGGGTCAAACTAACATACTGCTTCTCTTGGTAAAGTGCTGTGGTTTCTTGGAGGGGTTTTTTGTTTGTTTTTTTCCCCATGTCTGTCAGTGCCCCTTAATCCCACCTAAATTACAGTTTTGAAGGAGCAGGCATGAAGGTTCTTTGAGCAGATATGATATTTTTTACTAGACCTACTGAGTAGTTGGAAAAAAGTTCTTAGCAAGCTTTCGGGTGCAGTCATCCTTCTTTAGGCATATGAGTCTCACTATGACTGCAACTCCCTATGCCTGAAGAAGAGTGATTGTGCCTGAAAGCTTGCTAAGAATTTTTTTTGCAGCTATTCAGTTAAACAGGTTAAACAGTCACTTGGCTGGGATGGTTTAGTCAGGGATGGTCCTGCCTTGAGCAGGGGGCTGGACTAGATGACTTAATGAGCTCCCTTCCAGCCCTACCTTTCTGTGATCCTAGTTTAGGTGCCCAAGTGCTTTTTTTGCTCCTTGGTGTTAACTGGTTGTGACACTCTTTATTGCTAAGGCAGTGTCAGCTCCTACACTCCCTTTGAGAGGAAGGATGATTGAGCAATATGGGACAGAACCAGAGCTGAGGAGACCCTTTGTCTCAGCTCAAATACCAAGCTCTGGAGCCACCCAAAGTAGACATTTTAAAAAATGTTATCTATATCACAGTATGGTGTTACACAACTGTGGGACTCCATATCTCTCGTGCTCCCCAAAGACATAAAGCGGCTCACAAGTAACCAAGGACAAGTTTGTCAAAATGCCTTGCCCTAAAGATCCCACATGCTTGAGTTGATCACACCATACTGTGTATTACATGGCAGTCGGGCACTGGACTAAATATGCCACTTAAAAAAAAGACTTAATATATCTTGATAAGATTAATAGAAAGCTTGGAAAGGCCCACTGCTTGAATTACAGAAGCTAAAGGAAATGATTCAGAGTAACAGTAATTCAAAATAAAATCAACCAAGTTTAAACCTTTAAATGATCATATTATTCCAAGGAATTCTGTATAGTTATTGATTAATCATAAACACAGTTGTTAGCATCCAGATTATCCTGTGATATTTAGGACAATGTTGTTACCCTAGCACATGAGAGGCAGGAGTTGTGGAAATGTCCTTTAGTTTTCTTAACTTTAGGCAGAAGGTAGGAGAAGGTTGAACAGCTGCAGAAAAGAGACCATAGCATACATGCCAGTGCCTTTTCTTTTATCAGTTGCAGTGGGTACCAGAGATTACAATGTGCTGGGACTATGGCCACGGCATATAAGTAGGGTCCAGATTTAACAAGTGCAGTGAAACCAGTAAGCGAGACGTGAGCAGTAGCAAGCACCACCAAAGGACAGCCTTAGATGAACTCTGACTTATGAAATGGTTAATTATAGAATTGAGACTGTACAGGCTGCCCCCATTTAACATTTTTTATTATGCTGGTTTGCAGGTAGGAGTTAGCCTCCTGCTGACAAAGCACAGCAGGTTTTTGCTGTATAATATTTGTAAGTCAGACGAGGCCAAACTTGATAAATGCAGTGTACGTATGCTGCATAGTTTCTGGTAGTTCAACAAGATATTGCACTTTTATGAATTAATGGGTGCCCTGATCCAAAGACAATGAAGTCAATGGCAAGAGCTAGAGAGGCTCCTCCAACTACTGAATTCAATCACTGTATTTTAAAAGGTCTTAAAATTGACAAATGCTCTCATTTATAGCTTGTCAACTTCATAGAGACAAATCCTGATCAGAATTATGCTGGCGTGCACTTGGAACAGCTTTAATTGGCCAAGTTCTGTTTTCCATTGTCCCAATGTGAATCCAGAATAAACTTTGAAATGAAGTTCTGGTGCAGCTTCAATGGAAAGACTCCAGATTAATAGCAGTTTTTAAGTGAACAAAGAATTTGGCTTTCTGTGTAGTTTAAAGAATGCAAGAAAAGAATAGACATATGAAATGTCAGTATTTTGAATAGAGCAAGATCTCACTCATCGTTTCTAATTATTTTCTTCTTTCCTTCACAACCTTTGTAGGTCGGCAGCTTGTCTTCTTCAAGAAGGACTCAAACCATATCATGCCTGATCCTGACAAGATAACATATGTGAAAGTGACAGGCTGACAGCTAAAGTGGTTCAGTCTAACTAGTAAATGACAGGAGCTGTTTGTGTATAAATATAGACAGCTGTTATGTACAAGATGTCTGAGGACAGCGAGATAATTGCACTATTACTCATTCTAATCTATAGAGTGCTAAACAAAACTTTAAAGAGATGACCTGCATGACCAGGATGAATGTGCAATAGAACAACATTTTGAAAATGTGATTTTTTTTTAATTTCAAATGAAGCAAAATACAAAATGTATTACACTGTCAGGATACGACGTTCAGTTGGCAGCTCTAGCTTTTAATTCAGGTTAACTGTGTGTGCATGTTTGCACAGGGTGGGAATTTCAAAATTTTTATGAAAAGTCTGGATCCACTGCCAAAATATTTATTTGGGCAAGTACAATCACTTTTTATCACAAGCTTATCAGTTTGAAAGCTAAATATCAAATGTTATAAGAGACAATCACCATTTGTGTTAATGTTATCAAACATGCAAGACCAAAAATATTTGTAGGAATGCTAGGCTCCTTCATCAATTATTCTTATTGATATTTATAGTTGCAAAGATGTGGCAAACTTTCATTTTGTCTTAAATGTTTCATAAACTTTCATCTCTAAGAAAGCCATACTTAGTTGCCTAGGCCTTGATCCAGAAAAACATTTAAAACAGGCTTAACTTTAAACACACAAGTAGTGCCATCAAAATCTTGTAGGGTTTTACACAGATGCTTAAAAGTGCTTTGGTGAATAGGGATTGGCTTAAGCATGTGTTCAAAATTAAACATAAGCTTAAGTGGTTTGCTGAATCAAGGTCTTATTTACTGTCCTAAGTGTTTTTTAAGATGTTTCACTAACAGATCAGCAAAGCAGTCCATCTGTTTGAACAATACTATTTTTAAAATTAATTTGCTTGCTACAGAAGGCCATTCATTGTTTTAATCATCAAATTATTTGTCATCTAAGGTGCTACTTGCTAATTCTTAGAACAAATTAAATAAATGCCCTTAATAATTGCAAATGTACACTAGCCATAACTCTGTATAAATAAATGCATCTTGTAGGCATAGTGTGTCTAAAGAATTTGCTTTCAGTGAAAGCAATAAACTAAATGCTAAAAGTGACCGATGTCATACTGTTTTGTAGATTGTACATTAAGAAAATTTTGTACTTTTTGTTCCTTGAATTGTTTATTTTTGTAAAAAAATAAATAAAATGCCTGGGTTTTTTCATAGTTGATTTTTTGGGGTTTGTTTATTTCATATACCAAAGACTTCTGTGTGTGCTTGAGTGGGCTATATACAACCAAATTTTGCTTTAGGGTATACAAGTGGCTTCAATGGGAATGTTTTGTGTGTATTCAAGGGCAAAGTTTGACCCTGCTCATGATGAGGAACATGGCCTTTAGGTCAAAACACCACATTTTAGCAGCTTCTCTTGTTTTGTTGATCTCAGGCATATAAATATAGCTCACCGGTTGGTGTTCAAACATACCAAATTAACAGTGGCTTCAAGTAGAATCTGAAATAATCATAAGGCTAAATTATTTTTTCTTTACTGAGCCATGCTCAGGGGAGCTAGACAAAGAAAGGAAAAAGAGCCGTTCTGTCTATTTAGGAAAGCAGGGCCTTGTAGCAGCACATTCAGCAATAGCTCTCGCCTCGTTTCAGTTTCTCAGAGTTCACTGATACTATAATAATGTCTGGCAAATCACTGAAATGACACGCTATAATAGCTGTAATTCACAGATTATCAACCTATCTCCCATAATAATGTAGCTGATTGTGTCATTGTGCATTTCTAAATCTATCATTCATTCCATGACCATAAATACACAGTAAGGATTCTTTCAAAAATCACTACACAAAACATGCCAGCACATTTTGTATTTATGGAGGCCTCAATACCCTGATAGAGTTTCTTAACAATGAGGTGTCAGCATATATTTTGAAAGGGATTGTTTTGGCTTGTGTCCCGTCATGGTAAGAGATATGCAGAATTAAAAAAAATACTGAGCATTTAAAAAAAATGCAAATTGATTTTTTCATTAGTCACTTTTCTGAATGAAAGTATTCATTGGTTTTGACTGTAAAACAAACAAACAAACCAAAACCACAAACAAAACACGTAGGAATTTATAAGAAAATTTATCATTTTAAGTAGTCTTAAATCGAATATATATTACTCTTTTTAACTTAAAAAACAATTTTTAACAGCTCAGTGCTCAGCTCTCAGCTCAGCCAAGATGGTGCCACCTCTTGGCACATGCAATAGCAGAACTAAGTGTCCAACTAACTATAACTGTATTCTAAAGTAATAAACTCATTCTCACTTGAATTTGCAAATAGAAAGAATGTGAAAGGAAAAGAAAAAAAAAAAAAGGAAACTTTATTTTGAGGTGTTACTGGATGACAAATGTCAGTGATGATCAATTTTATATGGACAGTTTTATAATTCTTTGAAAGTAAGGGTTTCCTAAGGAAATGTTGATAAAATCTTGAGAGCCAGAACCGTGCACTAAGTACTTCTAACATAACCCTGGCAAAAGCCATGTATTTAATGGGGATATATATCTTTGGCAGCTTAAGGTCTGATTCAGCAAAGTACAGGGCAGGTTCCTATGGCATAGAAATCTCTGAAAACCCACAGGAGAGGAAGGCACAGAAAGCAATATGGTAGTTCTGGTCCAGTCAGATTATTCTAGATCTACATGTGCGCATACATAAAATTTCCTCTTAGAAAAAGCGTTTTTATCTTTTCTTAAATGTTTTGCCTGTTTTTAACATTTCCTTGGCTTCATTGAGCAGCTTCCTTCAGCTCTAAGATAGGAAAATGAAAGAAGACACCAACTAGGTTCCAAGTGATTGATCTTTGGTAAAAGGAACCCCACCCTCCCATCCAAAAACATGAGATACAAATAGATACATATTTGTTTAAGGCAAAAACCAACTGACTGCATATGAAACTTATGGCCAAATTAAAAATTGAGTTGACCTGGGGAAATTTGAAATTATGAATGGAGCAAGCACTGTTCATAAGAGTTTTTCATCTGATTGTATTGCTTTGAAGACCAGTGACTCTTGGAAAGATCTGTAAGTTGAGGGTCCTATCAAGATCTGCCTGTTGTCTCGCTGGTATAGGTTAAGAGCTGCCACTAAATCCTCAGCAGGAGACATGAGAGAAAGAGTGAAAGAATAACAGCATTGCTAGAATGAGTCAAGCCAACCTGAATCATGAGTTGGGCTTAAAAAGGGAGATTAACAACAACAAAAAAATAGTTTCTTTTTCTTTGCTGCTTGTTTTCTGAGACTTTGGGGTATGCCGAGGCCATGTTTCTGTGTTTTTCTCCACAACCATGAAGGATAGAAACTTGCTTTTAAAAAGAAGGAAAGAAATTGAAATTCTCATATAATCAACTCCAGGAGGAGGGAATTTAAGAAAATTACCGTATACTGTGAGATTTGTGATAAGATCATGAGAACTGGCAGCACTGAGAGTGTGAGATTCAGAGTGCCGTGTAAAAGGATGGGGAAAGGCTGTTGCCCCCACAGGAGCCCAGGTAGGTTAGAATGAGTGTTTGGGGGAAGTCGTATGTCATGTAACAATGGTAAGTAGTCACAGGAAGAGTGTCTCCTCTAATATTTAACAAAGGATTGTCCTGGTTTGGGCAAAATGTCCCTAAAGACACAGCTTCTCCCTACGCACAGTAGGACTTTTGCCTATTATCTCCCGAACCAGGCTTCCTGTTCAGTTTTATAGAAACAGTACACATACACTTTTCAAAGCACACCAAGGACTGGAGGATAGGGAAGAAATTAAAAAAGGGGGAAGTCTAAGTGCCTTTATCATAAACCCAGGTCCTATTTTACTAAGCACAGTACAAATACATAGCAAAGAAACTGTGCCTACTCTGAATAACTTACTATTTAGGTATAAGATGGGAGACAATAGGCGGATACAACAGAGTTGGTGCATCTATGCGTGCATTTATGTCACATTGAATTTACTGCATGGTAAGTTGCAGTATACTGTGCAGTAAGATGGAATAGGTTGGCATCTACATGTGCAGGCGACCTGGGACTAGAGTTAGTCCCAAGTCAGAGCAGCCTGCCATGTATCCCTGTGGCTACCGGGGAGAGCTCCAGCCTCCAGCCACATGGCTGCCAGCACTTGGCAACTATGCTAAGGCTAGAGGCAGCTGCTAACACATGACAGCCATCTTAAGAGCTTATCTCTGCCCGCACAGCCCTGCCCAGCCCCTCCCCTGCCCAGGAGTTATGTGCCCTGCACAGGCCCAGCATGTGGCATCTCCCTCCCTGTACCACCCCTGCCCCTGTCCCTGGTGACTAGCAGCCCGTGTTGCTGCTGGCCATGGTGCTGGCCCCGCTAGTCATACCATGCCCACCCCCACCCAGGCTTCAGGGCAGCCATACCCCTGCCAGCCAGGCCCAGGGCACCAGCTGCAGGAGGTTCTGGCCAACCCCCTCATTCCAAACTCCCTGCTTCACCCCATACGCTCCTGACCCCCTGGTCACCCCCAGCACCACTCTACACACATAGGAGAAACAGTATAAACTTTATTAATAGAACAAAACACCCCCATCTCTCTCCCCTTCCCCTCAACAAACACAGTTCCCCTTCCCCCTTTCCCCCCCCACACACAGTGCCCCTCTACCACCCTCCCCACCTATTCCCCAAACTGCAAAGACACTGCAGGTACCTGCCCCCATCCCCAAGTCTACCTGTGAGGGGCTCAGGGGTGAGGCCGCCCAGGGTGGAGAGCTCAGCTGCAGGTGGGCAGCACCTTGGCCACAAGAAGTGCCACTGTGGGTCCTAGGGCTGCAGTGGAGCCCAGGATGCCTCAGCTGGCAGGTACTGCTGGGGCCCTGGTGTGGGGTTGCAGACAGGACCCAGAGGCCCTGCAGGGATAGGGCAGGGGCCAGGTATCAGGGGGCATGGGCACAGCCTTTGCTGTGTGGCCCTCGGCAGCAAGCTGCTGCTTCAGCAGTGCCACATGTCGCTGCTCCAGGGCTATCAGCTGAACCCTGTGCTCTCCATATGCCTGAAGCTGCACCTCCTCCTGGGTGGCCTCCTGGGCAAGGGTCTCTGCCTGCCATGTCCGTTGGTCTGCCACCCCACCCTCCATGGCCACCACCAGCTGCCAGAGCAGGTGGGTCCAGTCAAGGACATGGTGGTAGTGTTGCTGGCATCTCCTGGAAGCTCCAGTGGCAGGTGGCAGTGACCCTGCAGCAGTGATCCTGCAGGCTTCTGCAGCTTCTCCCCCTGCATCTAGATGTTGACCCTGCAGCGGCAAGAGACAGAAGGCTTTTTTGAGAGTTTGCAACATTTGAGAGATATGATGCTATGCTCCAGGGGCCCTGTGAAGCCTGGCCTCAGATTGGAGGGCAGCAGCATGTGGGTGTCCAGGGGCCATGGTAAACTGTCCAGGCAGTCCTGGGCCCAGGTGCATGCTGCTCAGGCCCCCTATGTCTACTTGCGCCTCAGGGGCTAGCCGCAGGCTGCCTGCCTCCCCTGCTCCATTCCCAGGGCAGGCAAGGCCAGGTTGCTGGCAGCACCTACTGCCTCAGCCCAGCCCCCACCAACCCCACTTCTGCCCCTGCAGGCCCACCACTTTGTTTTGCTGCGACTTAGTCCCCAGTGCCTGGGCTTGGGGGGTGTGGAGCTCCTAGACAATAGGAGTGAGGGGCTGGCCACACCCCCACCCTTCCTGCAGGGGGGTTCTCCAGGGAGGCACCCTGGGGCTGCCCCCCTACCACACTGCCGCTGTGCCCTGAGGGTGCTCCTGCTGCATGTGGTGCAGGTGGTGCATGATGAGCTGTTTGCGCAGGTGGAGGGCTACTCCAACCACTACGCCCTGCTGCTGCTGATCCTGCTGATGCTTCAGGCACAGCTGTGCTCTTGGATTGGGACTCTGAGCTATGACAGAGTGGGGGACAAGCCCAGCCCACCCCACAATGTCTGCCACCACTTGGAGGGCTGTGAGGTGTACTCTAAAAGCATGTGTGCATGTGCCCCAGTGGACTCTTTTAACTCTACCTCCACACACACATATACACATATACACATACACACACCCGCTTTTTAAAAAAAATTGGGCATATTTTTAATCTCAGAGCTGCTAAGATGGTGCACTGATGATTAGAGAGATGTGAGGCAATTCCTCTTTTTGTAATGGCAGTGTCAGATCTAATATCTCTGAACACTCCTGACAGG